CAAATACCAAACTAAAACAATTATAATAATAATAATAACAAAAACAATGTTTTTGACTTGTGGTTGAGAATTGCATAAAAGAGAGAGCTTTATGCAAGGAGCGATCAAGAGAGAGAGAGACATGTTTATCATTTAACAGGTTATCAATTTTTTTTTATGTACATCAATTATATTACATATAAACACAATCAACAACAAAAACATATTAGACGAGCTTTCCGTTTTGAGTATTTTCGAGTATTCCCGCTCGTAGGCTACTCGCTCACTCTCTAGCTTCTACGTGATGATGAGGTAGTTTTGGCGGCAATTTATAGGGTCGTATATATTTGATATTCGTTTTGAGCGTTTGAGGCATTGCATTGGATAGCAGGCAGCGCAGAAAGAAATATGTCAAGTAGCCCGTGACTCCCCAGATGCGTAGCTCATCCACCACAAAGACGGGATTACTGTAGCCGCTACGAAATTGCGTGTGTCGTGCGACTGCTGGAGAGATTAGCGTGTTGATCGGTATGCTGAAGGCCTCCTCCACTTCGTCCAGGTTGAGTTTCAGCTCGGACACATGAAAATCGGGCACCACGCCCACAACTGGTACGATGGCGGCGGTGCGTGGTAATATTATGGGACTGGCTTCTCCCCAAATTTGGATGCGTTCTCGTGGCAGACCAATCTCTTCCTCTGTTTCGCGCAGTGCACAATCAACATAGCTCTCGTCAGTCTCATCCCTTTTGCCTCCCGGAAATGATATCTGCAGACTGTGGCTACGCAAGTGACGTGAGCGGCGGGTATACAACAGTGAAATTTCATTCCTATGTGATTTGAGTTTTATTAAATGCCTGATGAACCAATCGTAAATATATTTACTTACGTGTCACGCTCCTGGCATAAAGCTATTAGTACCGAGGCTGAGCTTTTCTCATTCCTGTTGTGCAGCAACATTTTAGGACGAGAAAAAGGCGGCAACTTGCGTAGCAAATCCAAACAGCGTTGTCGCTGCTCATCGCCCAGAAGTACCGAAAAATCGTCCGCTGTTAAAACTTTTACGTTGGCAGCTGTTGCATTTCTACTCTTGTTTCTCGTTTGAGTACATATTAGTTGCTGCAGCCGACGACTCCTTGTCAGAGAGCCCATGACGTGAGCTTTGGCCAGGCATATTTCCGCAAGAATCATGAACTAATAGGTGAATAGGGGAGAGTGATGTAAACAAAACCGAAACGGATTTGAACTTTGTATTTCCATCTGCACGGTCAGCTGTTTTTGGTTCAATCTGTGATGGGCGCAATGCAAAATTCTATCGCATAAAACACCTATCGATATTCGTTTGCTTAATAGGTGAATATTTGTTGTGTACTCTATCGATATGTCGTCGAGGCTTACATCTCTAATCGGCAAGGCTTTTGCATAAGCGTAAGTTAATAACAACATAGAATTCGGCAATTTTTTAACAAAGCTCATTAAGGCCGTTAGGAAACTAATACGCACTTGACGCGCGTGCGTACAGAGTAAGCCATTGTCTTCATCGTACACAGCTAAATAAATTTGGCAGTGGTGTTTCATGCATTTTCATTACGTAACCCAAGAAAACAAATAATAAAATCGCAGACTTTTAACACGTTCTTGTTGTTGCACTCATTACTTGTCTGTTTACAGTTTCATTCGCATTGACCAAGACACATACATATGGGCAGTAGCATCATCTCGCATCTGGCGCGAAAGTACGGTGCAGTGATATTCTTTCCAACTGTTACAGTCGGCTCCATTTACGCTGATTGGTCCCATACACGCGAGTGGAAGCGCCAACAAAATTTAGCAGCACAAAGCGCGGCGCTGAAGAGTCAAAGCTAAGGGCATAAACAAATCATCAACATTAAGGATGGTTCTCGGTCTGGACAAACGTGCCTTGTGGGCAGCACTGCCTCTGCTTGGATTTGCGATCGGCCACTTCTTGGACAAGAAGGAAACGGAACGCATGACCATGTTCCGGGATAAGAGTGCCCTCTATGGCCGCCCTGGCAGCGAGGACAGGCCACCGTCTTGGTGATTAGGCATTAGAATCACAACTAATTTTTTTTTCTTCTCACTGTCGTTAAAATAAACTGTAATATGGCTATGTGAAATGTTCGAAAATGTGATCTATGGCTTATTAAGTGGAATTTTTTTTGTTACGTGTGTGTGTGTACCTGCACCTCTGGCAGTGTATGTCCAGAAACCCAGAAATCATTACAAACCAATCTGGCTGACCTAACATCTTGCGGTGGCTTCTACCAGTGCTGACAACTTTTTAGCTGTAGCGGGATAGCAATAGCAGCTATTCTAAACTTGTCTAGAATTGTGGAAAATCATGCTAGATTTTGTATAATGAGTTATTAAACTTCAGTATTTAGTTCAGCGTCAGTTTCTTACTTTCTAACGTTAAGAATTAAAAACCGCTAAAAGTGATTCAAACTACCGCAGTTTGGCTTTTTTTTTCAAATACGCCACTTCTACTGCTAGCCAGATTGGACAGCAAGCTAAAGGATTTAGCAACACTGGTTTGTGCACAAACAATGGTAAGCAATAAACACAAACCGCGGACCGTGGGCCAGTCGTAGCGAGATTTGTTTGTTAAGGATTACGTCGCTGCCTGTTTCTTTTGGCCATTGTTTGTTTTAGACATGAAAAACCATAAAACCATCAACACACGGGCCAACGATAAGCCCACAGATAACTCGTTTACTTAGTCTTCTACCTGGTACTGACACGCACACACGAATGGGAACGAAAATCGCAGCTAGCATAAATATTGCAACGTACGCAAGCGAGATAGCACGAGCATGGTGTTTTTATGCGCAAAATCCGTTAGGATTTAAAGCGGCTCGAGTTTTGCTGAATGAAAAATATCATATTAAAATTCATAATAACTAAGCTCACAAATAGAAATTTTCCAATGTATGTGTGTGTGTGGCTATGTAACATAATCCGCTTGAGCGGCGCAAACGCAGACACCGAGCGAAACAACAGACGCACAAATTGAAATACCAATGTAACAAAACTAATTTATTTTTATGGTCACCAAGCATAGACAATTGTTAAAATTGCGGGCGTGCTGAGCCAAAGGACCTATGTCCTTAGACATAGCCATCAATGCACATCCAACGGTTTTTATTTTGTACACAGGCTCAAGGCAACAGAGCGACGGCGCAGCGTGCAAGATTTGCAAAGTGTGTACTATTGTCGCAGTCGTGCCCTTCTCTCTCTCTTTTTCTCTTCGTGTGTGTGTATGCTTGAGTGCGACAGCGATAGCAGCAACCTTCTAGGAACGTAACAAGATATGCAACTAGTGATGAGCAGCGCTGTGATTTTTGAAGGCTCACCACGATACGCGACTATTGCTGTGACTATTGTTTATGTACGTGTGTGAGTGATTTTTAATGATTTGCTGAATAAAGTTTAACTCCGATAGAGCTAGATACTATATTTACTTGCATTATTATTATTGTTTGTTGCTATTTAATACTATACTTATAACATATTTATTAATGCATATTCTTAGCCGTGATTTTTCGGTGTGTGTCTGCGCTTCCTTCGGTCACAGTAACACGTCCACGCCTGCCGCTCATCTCTAATGTGTAGGCAGTATGCAACACTTGTTTGGTATACGTGCTGTTGTTGTTTTTCGCAGGTAAAATTGTGTGTGTGGGTGCGCATGCGATGTGTGTCAGTATGTGTGTGTGTGTGCGTGCGTGATTTTGCCGAAAAACTTGTTTGCAGGAGCAAAGCCATGAAATCAGTTAGTTTTCGGTATTCAAAGCAAACAGAACGGGAGCACGGAGCAGTAGAAATTGAAAAGTGGAAAGAGTTTTTGAAATAAACAAATAGCAACAGCTCCTCTACTGGAAATCACAGCCCCAAGATGAGCAAAGAGCAGCAGGTCGAAGGTGGCGACTCGGCAATGAAATCCACCTCAGAGTTTGCAAACAAGACGCTGCAGGATTACGAGGTGCTGGCCGTGATGGGCAACGGAGCCTTCGGCACCTGCTACAAGGTGAAGGATAAGACCACTGGCGTGCTCTACGCCTGGAAGGGCATGAACTACGATGAGCTGGACGACGAGAAATGTGAATCTCTTATATCCGAGATAACTGTGCTTCGACAGCTGCAGCATCCCAATATTGTGCAGTACTATCATCACCTGGTCAATCGCGAGGCCAAGTCCATTTATATTGTGATGGAGTGCTGCGACGGCGGTGATCTCGCCCAGCTCATACAGCGTGCCCGCTCACAGCGGAAGCGTTTCGAGGAGCCGTACATCTGGCGCGTGCTCTTCCAGCTGTGCCGTGCACTGCAGGTGTGCCACAACAAGATACCCAGTGGAACGATTCTGCATCGGGACATCAAGCCGGCGAACATCTTCTTGGATGCCTGTGGGAATGTGAAGCTCGGGGATTTTGGCTTGGCGCGTGTCCTACGGCGCGATCAGAGCTTTGCGGCCAGCTTTGTGGGCACGCCGCACTACATGAGCCCGGAGCTGGTCAAGGGCCGGCAATACGACCGCAAGAGTGACGTCTGGGCTGTGGGCTGTTTGATTTACGAGCTGTGCGCATTGCGTCCGCCGTTCCGTGGACGCGCCTTTGAGCAGCTCTCGGAGAATATCGCCCATGGCCAGTTCAGCTGCATTCCGCCGGTCTACAGCGCCGATCTGCAGTCGATAATTGGCTTTATGCTGGCCGTGGATCATGAGCAGCGTCCAGGCATTGAGGTAATCACACGACATCCACTGCTGGTGCGGAACATCAACCAATTGCCAGCTGAGTTTCCGCGCCTCGTGGATGCTGGCGAGGATTTCCAGTTGCCCGGTGCGGGCAAGCTGTTTCCCGACTCGCCCGAGCTGTCCAGCACGCTCTTCACGGAGCAGTATAGCTTCAATGAGGGCTACGGCCAGCGGCGTCTGAGCGTCACGGGCGTCTTTACGCCCGATCTGCGCAACGAGCTTTTCTACTCGGCTAAGCGTCGCATCTTTGGCAGCAGGCAGCTGCTCAAGTCGGATCCATCGCTCTACGAGAGCATCAAGCGTGAGCATAGTCCGCAACGCATCACCCAGAACATATTCGATGAGGCGCTGCAGAAGCGTATGCATGCCATACGGGCTCAGGAGTCGCTACTGGAGCAGCGCGCGAATGAGCTGGCGGCGGCCGAGCAGCGCGTGAAGGCAATGGAACGCGAGCTGCGGCTTAAGTTGGAGCAGGTGGAGCAGCAGGCGCAGGCGCAGGTGCAGGCACAGGCACAGTCACAGAAACTGTGCACTTGCCAGATGGTGCCGCCCGTGCCGCCACGCAAGCCGCTGGCCAAGCACCACGATGACACCTATTGCAGCATTGAGCTGAATGAGACGTCGCCAACGGTGGCCAAAATGAATCTGGCCCTGATGACGGCGCCCAAACAGCTGCAGCTGCAGAGCCAGAGCAGCACGTTGCGCAAGGTCACGTTTCAATCACCGCCCAAGTGCAGCAAGTTTGGGCCGGAGCAGTCAGCTGGTGCTGCCCCTGCTCCCCCTGTGCTGCCCATGCAGACGAGTGTCTCCAGCAATGAGTCTGCCCAGAGTGAGGCCTCTAGCACGCGTCGCAAGTCCATTTTGTCTCTGTTCGGGCTGAGTCGAGTGAGCAAGGCGCCGGCCAAATCTACAGCAGCAGCTGCAGCTCCAACTCCAGCTGCAACCACGCAGCAGCAGCGACGCCCGCCCTTGGCTGTTAAGCTGCCAGCTACGCAGCAACTGCCGTCCCAACAGCAGCAACAGCARCAACAACAACAGCAGCAGTTCAACAACATGTGGACCAAGGAGCAAAAGCGCGCAGCCTTCGATCTGCTGGCGGCCATGAATGCTGCGGAGAAGGATTCAGCCAGCGTGGTGGCCGCGCGTCGTCAGCAGCTGCGGCAATCGGTGCGCGAGCGCAACAGCAGCATGCAGCGCAATCGTGCAATGCGACGTTCCCTCGTTCTGACAGCTGGCGGAGCACAGCCGAAACCATTAATGCTTGGCTCGCGTGAACAAATGTTGATTTAAGTTGCAATCGAGGAATCCGTTTCGAGTGACTGAAGGGGGCACTCAAAGTGGCCCGCCTTGTGATGTGGACTAAGTACCAATTTTTTTGTCAATCTTTTTTTTTTTTTTTTTAACTACAATCTTGTTCCTACTTTATGTTTAATTCGTGTATTTTATAGTTGTAAGCAAATACATACATATATGCAATTTACAATATAATAAAAAAATTAATTAGCCGTTAGAATTGAATTGCTTGTGCAGGTCAGATCGATATATATCGGAAGTAGGCGCAGCAAATATCTGTTGCGATTTAGTAAACGTGCGTATCAAGGATTAGAAAGAAAATTGATTTGGTAAAATTATTAAAATAGCAATTGAGTAACTGAATAAATTGTGGGAATTGTGCAGTAGCTATAATTGAATAATTGCATTCACAGTGCAGGCCAATGACTGACCAGCGTTTGATAGGTAAATATCGTAGTGAATATCAGTTGCACTGCTCATCTCTAGCACACGATATTTAGCGGGTTTTTGTTATTGTTTTCTACTTGTTTGTTTACATTTAAAATTGATAGTAGTGCTAGTTAATGATTGACCAGCGATTAATCGATATTAGCTGCAGTGAATATCAGTTGCACTGCACATCTCTAGAGCACCACATTTAGCGGGTTTTTGTTTTTGTTTTCTTTTTGTTTACATTTAACATGTTTCCGCTTGTCGAGGAGGATGTGCCCGAATTTCTCTTACAACGTGATACAGTCGCTTACTGCAGTCAGCTGCATGTCCAGAAATCCAAATCTAGCCTTGTGCTGGGACGCAATCTTAAGTTCTATGAATTCCGTAAAAAGGAGTTGTTGCACTACATCGATCTCAAAGAATCGAGTCTCCAGCAGCTGGCGACAGAACTTAGATCGTACAATGGACCGCTCAGTAGATTTCTCATACGCGATGATGTGGCCGATATCAGCGGCGATGCAACCAGTTACAACATGCTGCATGCCCCCGAGGATCTGCCCCTGAGCATAGGCAAATACGTTTGGCTGGGCGAGCACATATACGTGCTGCTCCAGTGCTGGAAGAAGTTGCTGGTGCTACAGCGACCGGCCGAGCAAGGCGCCAGTTTTAAGCTAATAGCGCAGCATGATAATCTGCAGGAGTACCGGCTGGTCAGGGGCCCTATCAAGTATCAGGCCTATGTGGAGCTGGAGTTCACCAATGGAAAGCGATTGCGCACAAATTTTCAAGGTAGTGAGGCGCCAGAGAGTCCTTCAACTAGTAGTGGCAGCACTACTGTTGTTGGCTTCAAGCGGTTGATGCAGCGCGTCCACTGCGCACGCGCCGAGCTGCATTCGCAACGCACCCAAACTCAGCTGGACTTTATGCAATCACGCGAGCAGCAGGCCTTCGGCTTGCCGGGCCAGCGTTCGTTGCTGCTGGAGGAGAAGCAGCTGCTGCGACGCTGCGGCGACATATGGACACGCATCTGCGGCGACTCTCTGGTGCTGGGCATCCTCCTGACCAATGCGGCGGGCAGCAATTGCAACAGCACACTGCATGCTCTGCGCCCGCTGCTGCGCCTGCCTCAGGGTCCTGGCCTAAACTACGCGTATCGACTGTACGAGCTGCCGTTGCAGGCTGATGGCCAGCCGCCGGAGGATTACGATCAGCTGGCCCAGTTCTGGGCCCTGCAGGAGCAACAGTCGAGCAACTCGGGCTTAAGCTGGCAGCCCGCCTCCCGTATTGACCAGTTGCCACCTGAGCGCAGCGTCGTGCTGCTGGTGCGCCTGCAGCTGGAGGATTTGCTAACGCTGGACAGCATACAACTGCTTGCCCTGTACGAGCTGCAGGACGAATGCCGGCGGCAGCTGCAGCTGCATTTAGCCAGCATCAATGTGGCCGCCTTGCTGCAGCAGCAGGAGCTGCATGTGCCCAGCTTTTCGCCGCGGACGTTGCATCAGGACTTTCTCGCCGTGATCATGACACAAGCCGCGCACTGCGCTTTGCGACTGGTGTTCCAGGACGTCGACCAGCAAGCCCAATTCGAGCAGCTGCTGCTGACCAAACTCAACTTTGTGACCACTGCTGTGCCGCAGGAGAAGCAGCAAGGTCAGCGGAGAGATTGTGAGTAGCTCAGCTCCTTTATATAAGTGAATCTCTAAAGAATCTCACTCTCTATCTCTCTCTTCTACAGCTGTACAACTGCTGGATGACTCTGGTGCGGAGCAGGAGTTTGCCTTTGGCCATAGCAATATGAATAGCAACAGCAGCTGCACTGCATCTACCCAGCGCATCTTCTATAATGGCCCAAAGCAGCTGCTTCTGCTGCGCAACGATCCTGGCCAGCATTGGCAGTTCTATGCCAGCACAGAGACGCAGCTCTGCCTCTTGCTGCGCCGCCTGCTACGGGATCTCTTGCAGCTGCACTGCAATCTCTCGCTGCTCGACCTGCAGGCGGAGGCGTGCAGTGCGCCCCCAAATGCATCGCTACTCCTGGAATCCGCGCTGCGCGACGAGCTGCAAGCCCGAGCCGATCTGCTGCAGCTGCAGCCGAAGCGAGCGCAGCTTCAGCGCCTCCATCAACTGGAAATGGCCAGCGATTCGCTGATTACTGTGATAAAGACCCAAATGCAGTTAGATACTAGCTAGCTGCTGCTTGGGACAACATTTAATACTCGGTGTTCATTAGAAAATATTTTTGTTTTACCTTTTATTAAAACATCATTTTGTATACAATATATGCGGGCATTTATTATTTATTACACAGTAGAGAAATGTTTCGTGCTTAAATATATATCAAAAATAAAACTTTTAGTTTGGACGGACAGTTTTATACATGAATAGCTATCCTGAATAGGAATATATATGTAGGTCATATATGATTTATAGGATTACACTTGCATTACACTTGCCTCTTATGCAATTTGCAGGATTGCACAAATTGTTAAGAAACATTTACAATGTTATATACAACACAACTTAAAACTAATTTAAAGCACTTCAAATGAATTTTGTTATGGAAAACTTCGAGTATATAAAAATATATGTATATAGATGTAGTTATCGAGCGCTTAGAGTTTTTCCGAAAAGTTTCGTGAGCTTCGAGCACTGCAACTGCTGCGCCTCTGTTGCTCCTCGCCTTTGATGATATTGTCAAGGACATTCTCCAGATTTTGTGTAGCCGCCGAGAGCTCGGCATTGTCGCTGTACGAGTCCTCGACAATCTCTTTGACCTTGTTCAGCAGCAGCTTAAAGTTAACCATTTCCGTATCACGCATATCCACATTGACCGACTGCTCCAGCAATGCGCCCAGTGGCAGCTGCTGTTGCTGTTGCTGCTGCTGCATGTTGCTGGCAGCCGAGTGCAACAAGCTGGAGCGTCGCTGATCGAACCACAAACTAATGTCGCTCAGTGAGTAATCCGATTTGTTCGCTTCCAAGTAGCTGCGGTTCAACTCGGCGCCATTGACTAAGGGGGGAGTAGTTTTCAGTTATAATTTGTAGAATATTATAAGATATTACAATTGTTACTTGAATGTGTTAAATTGGCGCCCACAGGTGCGTACATATCGTATGCAGCTTTTGCAGCTGGCGGCGAGGAACGTTGCGGCGTGCTGGCGTTGAGGAACGTGGAGCTGATCAGCGGTGCAGCAGACGAAGCGCGCTGCATAAGCATAAGGAAATCATTAGTTATATATGATCAGACTTGTATATATATATATAGCTCACCGATAATTGTCGCATGTCCTCAATTATTTGCAGCAAGAAACTTTGATGGGCGCTCAGAAAATCACATATTTGAGCGCTCGATGTGCTCGGCAGCTGTTTCAGTTGCATCTCCAGTTTGCTGCAAGAAATGAGTGTGACAAGCTATTGCAAAGGTAATACGCGTTCTATTACTCACACATTCTGCAGTAAAACACGATCGATAATGGATTGTAAGCGCTCCGAGGCGCTGCTCGCCAGCCCAGTTAGGGAGCCTGCAATGTGTAAAGGGTATGGGATGAGTTATCGAAAAAATTGGTTCATATATTTTTCCAAGGACGTACAGAGTTCCTGTTGTGGTTGCTGCTGCAGTTGCGGCTGAGGCTGCGGTTGCGGTTGCGCCTGAGGCTGGGGCTGTGGCTTCTCGTTTGGCGACGCTTTGAGACGCAACGTTGAGTTGCTGCGAATGCTGCGCGTTTCGGCCGGGATGGGCGCCAATTCGGTTGCATTGCTGGGCTGGCCGATGCCAGCGCCGCTTTCCTGTGCATTGCAGAAGCCGCGTCGCTCCTCCTCCTCGGCATCGGCGCGCTGGTCTTTCTGTGCATAGGGAAACCAGCTGCAGAGGCGTGCCAGATGTTGGGTCCAGCGCTTCGGCTGCGGCTGATCCTCGACAAAGACTTCGCACATGCGATGCGACGGCTCGTGCTTGCCGCTCACATGCACGGCCGAGGCGAAGCAGGGGAGGCACAGCGACAGATCACGACACACTTGGCACTTGAAGCGTATGCCAATGATGTGCTCCATGCGACAGCCGGCGCACTGATTGCTGTGTATCAAGTGCTCCGTGTCCTCGATGCGCTTGATCAGAGCCAACAGATTGCCATAGATTAGAAAGCGTGTCTGGGTGTGCGTCCACAAATTGTGAAACTGCTGCTCGCCAAGGCCGGCGAGGCCGTGCGGACAGCGGGCAAAGGACTGCTCCAACATCGGCTGCAAATTGTGGGGTCCATAGGCTTTCGACTCGCCCAGATAGCTAAACAGCTTGCTCAGCGTAAGCAGAAGCTGCTCAAATGCATAGCGCGAAACACACTGAAATTTGGCATCGGCCAGCATGCTATAGAAGTCGCTAACCATGTGCTCGCTGCTGTACAGCTTGCAGAGCAGCAAAAATGTCACCTTGATCTCCAGCAGCGAAATGGAGTGACGTCGTTGCCTGCAAAGCAATAAGGGAAAGAGGGAGAGACAGAGAGAGAGATATGGATAAATACGTCTATCCATAGCACAGGCAAAGGCAACTCTTACGGATCGTAGATATTCCAAAAGAAGTTGGCCAACAGTGCAGTGGCCGTGTCGAGTTGATAGTTTTGCGTTTTGGTAAAATGTCCCAGTTTCTCGCAGGCGAAATAAATGTCGTGCAGCAGCGAGGTTAGCTGAAACGGCGGCACCATCAAATTCAAATTACAATTGCTGCTGCTCACGGGCATGCCATGGCGTTGCAATATGGCCATCACAAGTTTGTAGGGTATTTTACTAGCTGCAAATGCCAGAGAATTGCGAAATCAAAAAGAAGTCAAATGCGATGCGAATATAATAAAACTTTAGCTTACTGTGAAATATCTTTTGCAGGGCGACAAATTTGCTAGCACATCTATAGACGGTATATTTGTAATTGCCATAGTCCAATTGCAGTTTGCTTATAATCTCTGTCAGGTTCGAGGCAACTTGTTGCGGCACCTGTTGCTGCTTTTTGCTTTCGAGTTGTTGTCCTTTGTTGTTCGCCAAGGACGCGACGGCGGCGGCGCCTGTGCGCAGCGTTGTCAATGGTGGGTTCACTGCAGTACTCAGCATATTGCACAGTTATTCTATTATTTCTGGTGTGATTTTGTATTGGTACTTTATTTATATATTATCTACTATAGTTTTCAGCGTCGTTTTCTCTTGATTCTGGCGTTCTCCACGACGTTCGTTAGCGCAAAAGTCAAATTTGAAATGAATGTGTGGCAACGCTGTTGCGCATGCGCTTAACAACACTGCAGTGCTGCCAGCTGATGCAACATCCGGCCGTTGCGCTTTGAAATGCATTTTAATCGAGTTGGCGTGTTCCATCTAATTGTCTTGAAAAACAAATGGTTTTTGTGATTTATATAATCATCTAAATATTATTCTGCTATTTCTTAAAGCAGCATAAATGATAATGAGCCATATAATAATTTGATTGACCGCCTTTAGCTGAGTATGCAGATCATAAATCACTTGCAGGCAGCGTCATCGATATTTTTATCGATTATTTTAAATTGAGTCAATGGGCAATGGTAATTTATTTAAGTAACTGAAACGGGCCTAAGGAACGAATGCATGTAAATCATTTTATAAATATATGAAAAAGTACTTGAAACATATATATACGTTATACAACTGCTTATAATGTGCAGCCTACCGAACAGCAGCAGTGCAGTCACTACATGACATTCTAAACACTATCTTTTATCATCACACCTTCCCTACTCAACTATTCTCACATAATATTAACCGTTTCTTCTTGAAATACATGCGCTCGTATGAACATACATACATATGTATATACATTTGTATATGGTTCAGTGCCTGTACGATAATCTAAACTAAGTATGTGACGCCCACTCTCAAGTCGCTGATTGACTAGCTGACAAATTGTTGCAGTCATATCGTTTCCCCACCCATTTCCCACCTGTGCAAAATGGTTCAAATGTCATAAGAAGATGGAGCACACATGTCATGCCAACACAGAGCTCATACATGCATACATACGTGCATACATACATACATACATACATGCATACAAACATGCATACATACATTATATACATACAGACACAGCCATAGACACTTGGACAAGCACACCTACATACATATACAATTGCAATTGCATTTGCATGCACAACGTACAATGGCGGACAGAGAAATGGGTCTGGGAACAATGAGAAGCATGTTGGGCATCGTTGGCGTCCAACTGCCTGCACCAGGCAATAATAATTCGCCAGTGCCAGGCCATTGACAATGTCGGTGCCATAATGGCTCTCCACTGACTGACTGACTGACTGCTGCAGAATTTCTTATACCCTGTGCCGATAGTTGTGTCAAGGGATATACACATATATGTACATACACATATACATATGTATATAAAATAAGAAGCTGTTGCTTATGTTGTCGATGTCTTCAAGGCTTAATCATAAAGCTAAAGGATTGAGAGAGAGCATTAATTGATTCAATTTTGTGTTACTTTTTATTTTATTTTGTTTAATTTTTTTTTTGATATTATAATTTACTTTTGTTTTATTTTCACTTACAATTTTACGTAGATTATGTTTTTTTTTATTTTATTCTAAATTGACTTACATATCTCTTAGATCATTTCACTTTAGACAACTCTAATTACAGGGTATTGTAAAATGACATATGCCAATTGTCACATTTGCTCCTTTTGTTGTCAATGCTGACGACAGAGGGCGCTACACCTACAATTGTGAGAGTCGTCTAAATGAATGAATTAAGTCAGCCATGTGACATAACTGGAATGACCGCCCAGCTGCTGCTGCTGCTGCTGCTGCTGCTGCTGCTGCTGCTGCGGATGCCCAAAGTCCCAGTCTCAGTCGCTGGCTTACGTTAAGTCCCTTAGTCCCCTGGCTAGAGTCGCAGCCGAGGCAACTGCTGCCAACGCCTCACGTTGAACATTTGCCACATTGTTTTGTTGCTGTCATTTCTGACGCCTTCTCTGTTGCTGCCGTTGCCGTTGCCGTTGCCGCTGCGGCTGCTACTACTGTTGCTGCTGCCGTTGTTGTTGTTCTTGTTGTTGTTGTGATTACGTATTTGYTGGCCGTTGCCAAAGTTATATGGCGCACACGTACAACAGCAGCTCCCGCTGCAGGACAAAGGCAAATGCCAGAATGCAAATGGCGTGTGGACGTGAA